TTCCTTCCTTTCTCCATCCCTCTCCCTTACTTCCTATTCCACTCTCCCTCTCCCTTCCTTTCTCTTTCACACTCTCTCTCCTTTCCTTCCCTGCCTGCCTGCTTGCCTCTCTCCCTTTCCCTTCTCTCCCTCTCTCCCTTCCTCTTTCCTGCCCAATCTCACCTGTTTTCCTCCTGTTGATGTCCCTGTAGAGCCTATGCGCAAGGTAGTCCCCAATGCGGTCCAGCTTGTCTGGGGACGTCATGGCATACCACATCAGCTTGTCCATGTTCGACTTAACGAGGCCATCCTGCAGACAAGGAAATTTTGCTCTTCTATCCAAATTCTAAGACAGATAGACTGAAAAACAGCTACCCTGAATGGAACACTTTTTTGTATACACCAGGATTGATGCTTTCGTACATGTTTCTACATTTGTTGCAATGAACACCATTTAATGTTTAGGTGTCTTGCTTGTTGTTTGCTCTTTTTAGGCATTTTATCAGATGTTCTCTTATTAAAGTAGGGTGAGGTTTTGATAGATCTTTGAGTAGGAATCGTGCCTATCTGTATCAGCGTTTGTTAGTTGAAAATATATATACGCACTACAAGAAAAGAATGATATAATATTTCTGTTCATATCATGCAAAAATAAAATGAGGGAGATATTTTAGCGTGAAATCTGACAGACATATACGCATATCTTAACATAACAGAAAGCAAATGGAAAGGTTTCAGTTAATGAATATGATGCTGAAAGGGTGTGACACAGAAGACTTGGAAGGGTGGCACAGGCTGACCATTCTGAAAATCAGTGATACAGTGATGGAAATGGGGTAAAGTAATACAACGGAGTAGAAGGGTGGCACAGCGGCTCAGAAAAAGACAAATGTTTTTGCAAGGGTGGCAGGCTGGTAGACAAGGTTATAAGTGACAAAAAAGGGCAGCAGGATGACACACATGACTCATATAATGCCATCTGGGTGACTCATATGAAAAGGTGACTGTGTGAGATGTACAAGAGTGGGGCGGAGACATACACGAGTTGGAATGATAGAAGGGTGACATAGCACTTGGAAGGGAGGCAGAGTGACAGGAAGGATTCAGACACGCATACAGGGAAAGGGGATAGGATGAACACCTAAGGACTGGGAGGGTGACATAGGCATTTACAAGGGAAACAGGGTGACAGGACAGGGACAAGATTCAGAAGGGAAGGCAAAAGGGTGACAATAAAGCCCTGTTCAGACGAGCGATTTCAGTGGTCGGACTGCTAGAGGCGCGATTACTGAGTAAATGTTCACACACAGCCCTCTTCAGTCACTGATCATACACAGCTGGTACTGGATGTAGAAGAGGTGGTATGTGCATGGGTTTTATATCGTCGTTTGCAGCGGCGGAAGAGGAGACAGGCGTTATTGGGTTCATTCCTATCTTAAATGACAGACTTACCCATGAAATGTTCTTCACATTGTATCCAAAGTTACGAGAACATGAACCCAAGTTCTTTAATTACATGAGGATGTCCATCAAATCAAATTTCCACCACCTCATCCCAGCATCCTTTTTTCACCACTCTATCCTTGCAGACCACACTTGCCATATCCTAAATGGCTGGACATCTCTGGACTTAGTCAACAAGCAATTCTGTATCAAAACGGTCTATTTCTTGCTTGTCAGACATCCTACCTTACTTGTGTAACTGTATTGGCAGCAGGATGACATGCTGGGGGAAGCGAAGCTACTGTCGCCTGTCTGTCTGCTTCCCCTCCAACTGCTCTCTCACTGGTTTAATCCCACCCACTCCAGCCAGTGAGGCGTGCTAGCACCATGAAAATGCAGTGGCTGTTGCCGTGTGTGCGGCCGCATAGAAACGCATGTATCTCAAGTGGCTGAGCAGTCGAGCCACTGTGAGGCAGATCACAAGTCACGCCACAGGCCAGCCACAAGCCACTACGTGTGCGCTCCTATTCACTTCCACTAACCTGGCAGCCGCGCTTCTAGCAGTTGGGCCACTAAAATCACTCATCTGAACAGGGACTAAGGGTTAGAGAGGGTGGCAGCCATTCTCACCTCAGGGTTGGCCGGGAAGATGTTATCCACCAGCCGCTTGTAGCGCGGGCGGAAGGCCGAGCAGCAACCACAACAACCTGAAGAGGAAAGATGAATTTATTTCTCAACTGTTTTTTCCTATAAGTATTATTTGCCTATTAGAACTTACTCATGTACTTTGTGTATCTTACTTTATATCTGTTGACTGTTTATGTCTGTTGTCTGTCTGTCTGTCTCTCTCTCTCTCACTCTGTCTGTCTGTCTGTCTGTCTGTCTGTCTGTCTGTCTCTCTCTCTCTCTCTCTCACTCTGTCTTTTCTGTCTCTCTCTCTCCCTGTCCATGTCTGTCTCTCTAAATTTCTTTATCTGTCTGTTCTTTCCTTCCTTTTTTTCTTTATATGTCCCTCTTTCTCTGCTTGTCTGTCTCTCTCTCCTTCTCTTCCTCTTTTTATCTGTCCCTTTCTCTTTCTGTCTCTCTCTCTCTCCATCCCTCTCCCTCATGTGTTCAGTTAATACACATCTTACACATCAGTTCCACAAAAGTCATATTCACAAACACAAATTCATCCACCCAAGCCCACTCTTTTATTCATATTTGCTGAATGCCATTTCCAAATGAACTCGGTAACAAATATCATACAAGCAAGAAATTTAATCAAAATAATTAATCTTAGTATATATATACACATAGACAAACATTTTTATCTTCCTATCTATCGACCTATGTATGAATGTATGTACTTATGTACATATGTATGGTTTTGTATCTGTCTGTATGAATTTATGCATTTTTATGAATCTATGTATGAATGTATGTATGTACAAATGTATGTATACATGTATGTTTTGTGTGTCTGTATGTATTTATATATGCGTATGTGTGTATGAATGTATGTATATGTACATATGTATGTTTTTGTATGTGTCTGCATGTACTTATGTATGACTATGAATGTATGTATGTACAAATGTATGTTTGTGTGTCTGTTGTCTGTCTGTCTGTCTGTCTGTCTGTCTGTCTGTCTGTCTGTCTGTCTGTCTGTCTGTCTGTATGTATGTATGTATGTATGGTATATATGTATGTGTAGGAATGTATGTATGTAATGTGTATGTATAAATATGTATGTTTATGTATGTAAGCATGTATATATGTATGTATATTTATGTATGTTTATATATGTATGCATGTATTATATATATATATATTTATATATATATATATATTATTATATATATTATATATATGTATATATATGTTTATGTATGCATGCATGTATATATATGTATGTGTATGTTATGTATGAATGTATCTGTGTATGTGTACATATATATGTATATATGCATAAATTTA